CAGCGCAGGGGCAGCAGGAGCGCTGCCAGCACCCCCAGGGCCACGGAGAGGAGCGGGGGGCTGGCGCAGGGTGGGCTCAGGCTGGTGCTGCCGGTGGTGTTGCGAGGGACAGCATCATTCAGAGAAGACACCACATCGTTCCCCTGGCCGAGGGACTGGGAAAGAAAACGAGCGTCAGACATCCCTCCCGACAGCAGCAGGGCTGTGAAAGCCCTGAGACCCCTCACGGGATGGTCCTGGGGGCAAAAGGAGCTGCGGCACCCCAGTGGTCCAGCCCAGGCAGGACAAACAGCCTCCTGCCCCCGGCAGGTTCCCCTGCACTCTCAGACTCTCAGCTCTGGGCTTGTCCCGACGCAGGGAGGGAAGCGAGCTCTCCCTGGAATCCAAACCCTGCTCCTCTCCAGGCGTTTGGAGAAATCAGGGGGGAAGTGGAAGCCAGGGAGGGGTCTCTGCTGCTGTGGGGAAGTGGTGAGAAGGTGACAGGACAGGAGGAGGAGAGTGGGAAACGCCCGTGCTGGAAGCGAGGGGCAGGGGAAGGAGCGTGCTGCAAACAGGGAGGGTGCAGTGGGTGTGGGGGATGCTGCACAGCCAGGGTGGGGATTTCAGGGCAGTTTCTTTCCCTCTCTAACGCTGCCCTGGCTGCTGGAAAAGTGATGTCGTTTCCCATTGCGAAACGCGCTGTCTTACACCCCTCCTCAGGGTCCCTGCCGAGATGGGAAAGGACCCCAAAACTCTGCCCCTTTTGCCACACTCTTGTCCCTTTTGCCTGCTTTGCAGAGGGGGAATTCCAAAATGTAAATGCACCCCGTGGAGCCGGCAGCAGGTCACAGCCCTGTGGAAATTCATGAGTGAAATAAGTACAGACAGATCTGGCCCCATTGCCAACATGTAGGGGGGAAAAAAATCATCCCAAAAGCTGCCCCAAAGTGTATCGTGCTCCCCAAAAGTGCCAGTGGGTTCATCCCTAACCAGCCAGGAGAGCTCTGACATCCCTCAGCATGGTTCTTGGACCGTGGAGCCCCCATGGAGCCCCCCAGCAGGAAGGGAAATAACATCCATGGGGAGAGCTGAGAGGAAACCTCAGCTGTGTGTGCAGCCAGCCACACTCAGCATCCCCACTGCAAACACGGGCTGGGCACAGGAGAGCCTGGAAGATGGCCTGGAGAGCTCAAATTAAAGAAACCCTTTCAAAAAGCACCACATGGAAGCATTTGGACCTCCCAGCACAAAGCTTTTGGTAAGATCTCAGTGCTTAAAGAGAAATCCAAAAGCAGAGGTTTTGAGCTGAAAGCTGAAATTGGGTTTGAACCCTCCCCACCCCAGGGCCCTTACCAGGCACAGGCTGAGCAGGGCGAGCAGCAGGAGAAGGTGGGCACGCCGGAGGGGCAGCATGGCCGGGGCTCTGCAGGTGCTGTGACACTTCCCCTGACACTTCCTCGTCTGCTCCGAGCCTTTAAGCTCGGTGGTGGCACTGGTGCACCAATCACACCTCCCTTCCCCAAAACCCGGCGCAGTTTGGGGAAGTCACATCCTCTGCCTGGGCTGGGAAAAGGCGCCAGAAGTGGTGTGGGGAGCCCCTGGAGC